ATCATCATCAGCAACATCATCATCATCATCAGCATCATCAGCATCAGCATCATCATCATCATCATCATCAGCATCATCAGCATCATCATCATCACCATCATCATCACCATCATCATCATCATCATCATCATCATCATCATCATCAGCATCATCATCATCATCATCAGCATCCTCATCATCATCAGCATCATCATCATCTTCACCATCATCATCATCGTCATCGTCATCATTGTCGTCATCATCATCATCAGCAGCATCACCAGCATCATCAGCATCATCATCATCGTCACCGTCATCATCATCATCATCATCATCATCAGCATCATCAGCATCATCATCATCATCATCAGCAGCATTAGCATCAACATCAGCATCAGCATCATCATCATCATCATCAGCATCCTCATCATCAGCATCATCATCATCATCATCCCTCGTCCCTCATCCCTCATCCCTCGTCCCTCATCCCTCATCCCTCCTCCTCCCTTCTCCTCCTCCTCCTCCTCCTCTTCCTCCTCCTCCTCCTCATCCTCCTCCTCCTCCTCCTCTATGACTGGGGCCCTTCCCACTATCCCCGTTCTTATGTGTGCCCCGTCGGCACGGACACGAACGCGCCCGCGGCATGACAACGGCGCCGTCCAACACATTACACCCTGCACCAGAGCATGGCGCAAATCCGTTCGACACCCTCGCACGAATGGCCCCTGGAATGGAATTTCCGTAGCCCGCTGCCGTGCCACGCTCGTCCCTCCAAAGAACGTTGCATTCACCTGCGCTTTCTCCTCGTACTCTGCCTTTCGCCTCATTATCCTCCTCATCCTCTTGCGATTCCTGTCGATCTTCCTCTGGTTCTGCCGACTCCTCCAACCAACTCCTTCTCCCAGTCCAACTCCCGCTCCCCAGTGCTGACGCTCTTACTCCTGCTGCTACTGCTGATGATCATCCCCTTCCTTCTCCTCCTTCTCCTCTTCCTCCTGTTGCTCCTCCTTCGGGGGTCCTTCTGACGGGCGGAGTCTCGTTCTAGAGCATCTCAGAGCGCATGCGTCGATGGACTCGGCCGTCGACCTGGACTGGTCTTCACAACGTGAATAGATGGGGAACAGAAGGGGGCGAGGGAGAGGACGCGGAAAGAGGCCAGGGGGATGGGGAAGGATGGAGAGAAGGGGGCAGGGGGGAGTAACGTGATGAGTGGTGTTGGAGGGGGGGGGCGGAGAGGGTAGCCCGAAGGTGGAACCAAGACAGAGTGTTGATCACACCGTCGCCTGGATGACAATACAGATGCTTGCGGTTCTGCTCCCCCCAGCCAAGCAAACGCATAGCATACCACAGTGGTACATACAGTTTACTTGCGTGGGCTCATCGTCGTACAGCGTCAGACCACGGCGGGAGGACATGCGCCTGATCAAACGCATTGCGGCTTGACTTGACCTTGCAGCACACCATCACAGCTTAACCAGGCCATAACCATGGGGGCTCACATGACGCGGCAATGTACTCCTCTCGCCACTTACGGTCACTCAGGCGATGCTCGGCCTGCCTGGTATCCTGCTGCTGCCCCTGCCCTCTGCCTCGTCCCCCCTTCTCCCGCATTCCCCTGTCCACCGTCCTCCGCCTCCTCCTTCTTCCTCGTCGTGGCGCGGCCCTCTCCCCTTCCTTTGTTTCCTGGAAGCGCTCGAATTCCTCTTGATGCTTGCCCTTTCCCTCCCCCCTCCTCCTCCTCCTCCTCCTCCTCCTCCTCCTCCTACTCCTCCTCCTCCTCCTCCTCCTCCTCCTCCTCCTCCTCCTCCTCTTCCTCCTCCTCCTCCTCCTCCTCCTCCTCTTCGTTCCTCCAGCCTCTCTATCCTGCCGCCTCTCTCCTCCCTCGTCCCCCTCCCCCTCTTCCTGCTCTCCCCGCTGCCCACCGACCGTCGGACCTAGGACGGAAAGACATCCTTCAAGAACGTGAGACCCTTCGCCGGACAAACACGCACAGAATAGCCAAGTGTGCCCTCCCCAGGATACACAAGAACATCCAACCCACGCAGGCACAGACACAGACACACACACACACACACGAAGAGCATCAGAGTACTCTCCCCGAACCGACCTCGATCTTATACCTCGGTCCGACCGTACCTCTCTTTCTCCCTGCCGCATGTAGTCAACAACGCTGAAATAAGGAACAGCTTGGGCACGACAGGGGCTCGATCTCCTGAGGTCCTTCCATGGCTGTTCCTTAAGCCCTCCTCGTGCACGCAGGCGCTTTTGGGGCCACAAGGGGCTTCGTTCCTTACTGTTCGTTCCTTCTTTCAGCAGCCCGACTGGATTGCCTCTGCCTCGTCCCTCCCTCCCCCCGATGCCTCCTCCGCCTTTCAACCTCCACTCGTGGGGGGGGGGCAGAAACTCAGTCGGTCTCACTATCGACCTCAATATCGATCTCACAATGGAACACCGCACCGACGGGACACCGACGGAACATCACTATCAATCTCACTATCGATCTCAACCGATCAATCTCACAATGGTTCTCACAATCGGTCTCACTATCCCGCTCACTATCGATCTCACTTTCGGCTGCATTATCGATATCACTATCGACATCACTATCCATGTCACCATCGATCTCACAATCGATACCACAATCGATATCACTATCGATCTCACTACCGGCCTCATCATCGATCTCACTACGGGACACTGGCGGAACACCGACGGGACACCACGGGACACCGCCGGACACCACTTAACACCATCCGGACACCACGGCGGGACACCCCCGGCCAACCGGGGGGGAGGGGCGGTCTTTTGGTCTGGCGGCGCCTTAGCCAACGGTAGGTTCGTTCCCCTCGCCCGCCCACGCAACTTCGCCCCACCCGCACGCACGACACGAACACGGAACCGAAACCGACTTCCAGGTCGGGGGCTCTCCGCTCTTCACTGCGACCTCGCCCCCCTCGCCTCCCGCCCCGACTGGAAGCGACGCTCTCGGGTCCATATGAGGGATGAGAACTCGCTCCATTGCGTCCTACCGCAGAGCGTTCTTAATCGCTGTGAAGAGGCCGCGGCGTCCGACACTGCCTCCAGACCCGCCAGTTGGCCGTGGTCTCCGATTGGAGTCCTCATCTGGGTCTGTCCTCGTCCTGCATTCGCTGTTTTTATTGACGCTCTTACCAAACCAAACCCTAGAACCCTAGAAGTAGATTAGGTTTGCGCCCGCCCCCCAGAAAAACAAAAAATATAGATTCTTGAAATAGGAAGGCGCTTAAAGTAGATTGGGATCTGGGAATCCAAAAATGCCTACTTTCAACGACCGGTGGGTAAAGGTCCAAAGTCTGACGTCGGTCTCCCAAAAGTTTCCTGCACGGCCGGGGAGGCCCCGAAGTGTGCGCAGGGCGCGATCGATGGTCGCCGCGCTCGCTCCCTGGGCGTGCAAACCCTGCCTCCGGGCTGGACCTGGCCATCGCTCGGACGTCCACTCCCCTGTGCCTTTTTTTCGGTCTCGTGCGTGGTTCTTTCGCCAGATGATCCTGGATGCTCCTCGATGGTCCTCGCCGAGGGGAAAATGCACACGTCCGAGCGATGCCAAGGGACCTATATGGAGGATCGTTCAATTACCGGCAGGTCCGAGGTTGACCTGACGTCGACGTCCTCAGCCAGCCCGACTGGAGGTCCTCCGAGAAGAGTCTTGGTGCTGAGGAGCGCCTGGCTCTCCACGTCTTTATGCCTGGGGCCTCGCAGTCTCGGACTCGTGCGAACACTCGGTATCGGTGCTCGCGGGCTTGCCAGCGCTGTGGGCATCCATGGCCATCCACGGCCATCGGTGCATCACCTGGGGCAAGAATGCCCCCAGCACAACGCCGTCAGGGCCCAGTTGGAGCAGCAGCACAACTTGGGGCCCGACTTCTGGGGCGCCCAGCCACGGTGTGCATCCAAGAGTGGCTGGATCACATTCTCTGCCTTCCCATCCTTGGCAAGGCGGACCTCGATGCAGATTGCGGCGGTGAAGCTTGGCATCCACCTGCGCAATACCAACTTCGAGCCAAGTCGTCGGTGTCGTGCTTGACATTGACATGGACCTCTAAGGGGTTCTCAATCCTTGTTCGGTTCTTCCCCATACCTAGCCCCCAACGTATGAGCAGAAATTGGCCGCAACTCTTCGGGTGAACGTTTTCTTATTCGGCGTTTCGACAGTGGGCGGAAGGGGGGGGAGGGGGGGGGTCTGGCTCCAGACCTCTGCTTAATGCGACTGTTTGCAACAGTGCGTCCTGTGGGGGAGACTGGACTTGCTAGAAACAGGCGCCAAAAATAACCGAGATCTACTCCAGGGGGGGGGGCAAGGGCCCGCGCCGATCGGCAAACAAATTAAAAAGAGAACGATCACCAGAGAGTGCAGGGGAAGAAGGCCAAATATTCGATTGTACAAGCCTGTTCACCCTGGTAAGGTTTGGCGCGATCGCCCCGCGACCTCTCTGGAGCGCTGCATTATTTGGCGGCGCGCACACGGGGGTGGAGGGAGGGGGAAGGGCTTCTTAGGAGGCTGCTTCTTAGAAGATGCCGGCCTTACATCTATAGATAAGACCCGCGCCTTCTAAGAAGCAGGGGTGCTTCTAAGAAGCCCTCCCCCCTCCCCCCACCCCCCTCTGCGCGTGGCTGACTTATCCTATCCCGCACTCCTCCTCCCCTTGCAGGAGGAAGAGCAGGAGGATCAGGAAGAGGGGGGGGCAGGTGGAGCAGGGAAAGGAGGAGAAGGGGGAGGAGGAGGAGGAGGAGGAGGAGGAGGAGGAGGAGGAGGAGGGGGAGGAGGAGGAGGAGGAGGAGGAGGAGGAGCAGCAGCAGCAGCAGCAGGAGGAGGAGGGGGAGAATTCCGCCCCCCTCCCTCTCCACTCCCCCAGCCTCGTGTCTCGCACTCGTGGCGCCCAAGAAGCCGCATGGCGACGCAGTCCAACGCGCGTGGAAAGCCTCTGCGGGGGCCGCTTGCAGGGACGCTTGAGTAGGGCACAAACAAACCTACCTCGCTTTTGACCACCCTCGCTTCCAAGAGATACCAAGCGACGACAAACTACGGCCTGAGCTGGTCAGGCCGCTTGACGAGGAGGCGCGTGGTATGACTTGGTTTTGCCTGGAAGCGAAAGCGGGGTAGGTAATTCACGCTCTGATGAAAGGATGTCAGGCAAAAAAAGCTCGAGAAAGGAGATTTGCAGGAACTCCCACGGAGCTTCGAAGATGCTGCGGAAAGGCTTGCGGCACGCGCATCGGGAGCGAGCAGGAATAATGCTCTCGGGACAAGCTGCAAGTTCAAGCAGCCGGCTGTGGCGCTGCTTGACAGGCGCCAGAAAGAGCTGCCGGGCCATCCTGCGCTGCCGACCTCTATTCTCAAACCTTCTAACCCTCTTAGCTCTCAGAGAGACATCCGGCACCACCATGTTGCACAGTGCTGCGAGTCGGATGTGGCAATGTCGCAAGCGTGTTCGGTTCGACTCGGAGCAGGTCCGTGACCTCGCCAAGCCATGTTCGAGAGCCAACCTCACGACCAAAGGGCGGGAGTACCTCGACAGGCCTTCCAGGGGTTTGAGGCCCAAGTGGTGTACAGTGCGGGCGCGGCCGCAAGAAACCCTCGCAAGAAACCCAACCCTGAGAACCCGTGCACGAGGTGCACCTGAGGGGAAACCCGGAGCACCCTGAACGCAGCAGTCCCTTCAACGGCTGCGGGAGGTCACCGCGCAGCGCGAGGAGCGAAGACACCCAGGATACCCTGACGAAAAGCATCTGGTTTCTCGATGCGCGCCCCCACTGTAGATGATGTGGCTCTTTGCGTTCGACCCGATTCCGATTCCCCCTCCTCCGCGCTCATCCCCGCCCCCCGTCCGAGGGCCTGTGCGTCCCGGACCACTGGTCGCCCCCCTCGATGTGGCCGATGACCCTCTCGTAGCCGAGGGGGCAGCGCTGCTCCTCTGCGGGACTGGGAGGGCTGATAGGAGCGAGAAGCCTCAGGTCGGGCAAGTCCCCCCCCGCAGGCGTATTCTGGGCGAAACACAAGACATAGCTTAAACAGTGCCCCCAAATGGCCAAACGTCCCCAGACCATTCTTGTTGACTACTTTTTGATATTCCACTCCTGTAGAGGGACATGTCCGATGTTTGTTGAATATGTTTTGATATTCCTCTCCTGGAGAGGGACATGCCCGAATTAATGGTAGGAGCAAGAAGCCCTGGGCTGGCTTGCACGTGTTTGCAGGGGCTCCGAAGTTCGCGCCTCGCGCCGCGCAGAGCGCGGACAGCTTCGCGCTCTCGCGCCGCCGCCGCCCCCCCCCCCCCCAGGGGATTGAATTGAGGAGGAGGAGGAGGAGGAGGAGAGGAGGAGGAGGAGGGAGAGAGGAGGGGAGGAGGAGGAGGAGGAGGGAGGAGGCAGGAGGGAGAGGTGGGAAGGATGGGATCGGAGAGGGGGGGAGGAGGGAGGAGGAGGAGGAGTTTAGGAGGAGGCGGAGGAGGAGGAGGAGGAGGAGGAGGAGGAGGAGGAGAGAGGAGGAGGAGGAGGAGGAGTGAGGGGGAAAGGGGAGGAGAAGAGAAGGGAGCAGAGGGAGGAGGAGGAGAAAAAGAAGGAGGAGGGAGGAGGACGAGGCGGAGCGGAGGAGGAGGAGTGGAGGAGGAACAGGAGGAGGAGCGAGGAGGAAGGAGGGGAGGCAGGCAGTGAGGATGGGCGGATCGCGGCGCATGGAGAGAGGAGGAGAAGAGAGATGGAGGAGGAGCGCAGGAGAGGAGGAGGAGGAGGAGGAGGAGGAGTAGGAGTAGGAGGAGCGAGAAACGGAGAGAGTAGACGGAGGAGGAGGCAGGCCAGGAGGAGGAGGAAGAGGAGGGAGGAGGAGGAGTGAGCGAGGGAGCGGGGATGGAGGAAGAGGTGGAGCAGAGGAGGCGGAGGAGGCGGAGGAGGAGGAGGCGGAGGAGCGAGGAGGAGGGGGAGACGAGGAGGAGGAGGAGGAGGAGGAGGTAGGAGTGAGGGAGGAGGAGGGGAGAGTGAGGATGAGGAGGAGGAGGAGGAGGAGGCGAGGAGGGGGAGGAGGATGGAGGAGGAGGAGGAGGAGGGAGGGGCAGAGGAGGGAGGAGGAGGAGGAAGAGGAGGGAGGAGGAGGAGATAGGAGGAGGAGGGGGAGGAGGAGGCAGGAGGGGGAGGAGGGCGAGAGGGGGGAGGAGGAGGAGGAGGTGGAGGAGGAGGAGGAGGAGGAGGAGGAGGAGGAGCGAGGAGGAGGAGGAGGAGGAGGAGGCGGGGGAGGGCGGATGAAAAAGATGAGGATGAGGATGAGGAGGAGGAGGAGGAGGACGACGAGGAGGAGGAGGACGACGAGGAGGAGGACGAGGAGTAGGAGGAGGACGACGACGACGACGATGAATGAGGACCGCGAACTGCGAAGCGCAAATCACTTTGCGCCCGCGTGGGAACCCTTTCGTTCCCGGCTGCGGAAAAACCTGTTTGGGGCACTGGGGCCGTCGGGCAACGACGGAAGCGGAACAACTCAGCCCTGGGGAAGGTCTAGAGCTCTGGTCAGGACGATCGAAAGGGGTACGGAAAGACTGGGTACAATGCCCAACAGCAATTCCTGTTAATTCTGAACAGGACTCGCTGTCCGCGCCGCCGCGGACGTTGTTCTTTGAGGTCAAAAAGCCGCCTGCCCAACACCGGCCGCTGTCGGTTTTGGACAACATGTCTCGTTCGGCATTGTACCCATGTGTTCCGTACCCATTTCGGGCGTCTAAATACGGGGCGCACGGATCGAATAACTGGCCGCGTCGCAGATCTGGGAGGGTAGGAAGGGGGATGAGGGACATTGGGCCATGAAGAGGCCACGGAGGATGAAATGGAGAATAAGGATGAAGCTTGTGATTTTGACCCCCTCGGATGCTCGACGGGCCAGCGGTGGGGGAAGATGGCCTGCGTTTGGTGAGCGCACGCTGCTCTGGCGAAGTCCCTAACAGATCTATGATAATACAGTCGGACCTAGGACAAAGGAGCATCCCTCAAGAACATGAGACCCTCCGGTCGAGGGCCCCCCGCCCCAGGATGCACAAGAGCATCCAACAAGCACGAACAACATGTGGGTATCCTCCCCGAGCCGACCTCGATCTTATACCTCGGCATGGCAGGAGCTCCTGTGCCTTCTCCTCGGAGGCGTGCGCTCGACCCGAACACGTCGTACAGCCATCTTGTCATATCTCGCTTCCCGAACGGTTGAGCGGCGCTAGTCTGCCCACAAGCCGGTCGCGCGGAATGACCTGGATTCGTCGGACGGGTCGACGCCGCGCCTGGAGGCGACGGACGGATCGGGGCGGCGACGGACGGATCAGGGCGACGACGCGTCCAGAGGCGACGACGGCGGGTTGGCCAGAAAGAGTCCGCCATGAGGCTCACGCTGCAAGATCTCCAGGATGCGCGCGTCGCCCCTCGGGAGGCGACGCGCACAACAACGGGCTTCTGCCGTGAGATCCCCACGACTCGCTCTTGAACCGGCCACGGCGTGCGAGTGGCGCTGGCGATGTGCTGCCCGCACCGAGGCGAGAGCGCCGCTTGGACGGACCTTCGGCCATTGTACGGAAATTCGGCCCACACGGCACATCAGGATGACGCCGGATGAAAGATGATGCTTTCACGGCCATCCGCGCCTTGCCATCGCTCGGACGTCCACTTCCCGTGCATTTTTCGATGTCGTTCGCTTGCCATCGCTGGGACGTCCTTTCCCCGTGCATGTTTGAGTTTCGTGCGTGCTTCTTTTGCCAGGTGATTCAGGCTGCTCCTCGACGGTCCTCGCCGAGAAAGACTGCACACGTCCGAACGATGCCGAGCGCGTGTATTTCTCGCAAGATGATCCAAGATGTTCCCCGATGGCCCTCGCCGAACAAAAACGTGAGCGGGAGGGAGGGCGAGAGCGGGGGGTAGCGGGGGGGGGAAGGGACGAGGGTCCAGGAGGGCAGGGGCAGGGAGCGTCGGTGAGAGGGAGGGCCGGGAGGAACCGGACAAAGGCCAGAAGCCTACAGTCGGACCCAGGCCAGGAACACGATCGACCCACGAATCTGGAAAGGGATTGAGCACTGCGAGGCATGGAGCCGTTCCTGAGGACCTCAATTTCGCATGCAATCGAGCGATGCCAGGGAGGGGGGCGCGCCGCGGAACTTCCCAAGGGACGCGCCAGGGAACGTGCCATGGGACTTGCCATGGGGACGCACCGCGGGACGTGCCAAGGGGGCGCGCTAAGGAACGTGCCATGGGACGTGCCATGGGACGTGCCGGGGGACGCGCCGCGCGACGGGCCAGGGGGACTCGCCACGGGACGCGCCACGGAACGCACCCGGGAACGCGCCCGGCGATGCGCCAGGGAACGTGCCAGGGAGCGCGTCAGTCCCTGACCCAGGGCCAAGATCCCTTAAACATGACGCTGCGTCCGCGCTCCCAGGGCCACGATCCATCGTAAATTATATCGCGCCCGCTCTTCCTGGGCCACGATCCCTCGTAGAAGCCGCGCTGCGTCCGCGCTCCCAGGGCGTCCGCGCTCCGTCGTGAGTTGCGCTGTGTCCTCGCTCCCAGGGCCGCGATCCCCCGTGAACTGCGCCAGGTTCGCGCCTCCGGGGCCGAGGTCCCTCGTCAGTTACGCTGCGGCCGCTCTCCCTGGGCCACGATCCCTTGCAACCTACGCTGCGTCCGCGCTCCCGGGGCCGCGCTCCTCGTGAACTGCGCCGGTGTCCGCGCCCCCGGGGGCAGGATCCTCAATCGATGACGCTGTGTTCGCCCCCCAGGGCCATGATCCCTAGTGATTACGCTGCGGCAGCGCTCCCAGGGCCAGGATCGCTGCAGCACAATCGCTTGTTTCGCCCAAGACATCCTCAGAAGTTTGGCACGCAGGGTGCGCTATCCTCAAGCAGGCACGCAAAAAGCAAACCTTCATTCTGCAAAACAAGCGCGGGGCTAGAAACATCCTCGAACTTCCTGCGCGGGACGTGCCATCCTTGAGCGGACACGCAAGAAATCAACTTTTCGAGTTCTTGGTATAACAGATTCGGTACTCCATACATGGTGTTTATGGTGGAGTCTGCGCAAAACGCTCCGCACCCAAATTTTCACAAGGGAAACCGTGTGTCTGCGGACCCTGTTATTGATCCAAGATCCGAAATAAGGGGCGGATTGTCCTCGAGCGGACACGCTCGAAACGTGATTTCAAAAACAAGCAGACTTTACCTCGTTATTTATCGCAACTTACTCCGCTCCTCGAAATTCCTGCGCGCGGGACGCGCCATCCTCGAGCGGACACGCAACAAGTTAACTTTTCTCTAGATTTCTAAGTTCTACCAAATCTTGTGTTTGATGGTGGATGTTGCGCAAAACGCTCGGCACCTTTTTTTGATACCAAGGAAACGTGTGCCTGCGGATCTCGCTATTTGTCGAGGATCCGAAATAAGGAACAAATTGTCCTCGAGCGGGCACACGCGAAATGCATGCTTCAAAGACAAATCAGACTTTACCTTGCTATGTATCGCACATAATTTCGCCGGCCCGCTTCGAGTCGAAACCGGGGGTGACGAATACTAAGAGAAAACCCTGGGCCCGCGCCCTTACTGGGAAAAAGTCCTCAGGAACATGAGACCCTCCATCGGCCAAAACAAACATAACGTCTAAGGGTACCCTCCCCAGGATGCACAAGAACATCCACCAAGCACAGGAAACATTAGGGTACCCTCCCCGAACCGACCTCGATCTTGTACCTCGGTCCGACCGTAGGAGCAAACGTAGTGCAATTTACCACGCAAAGTCCTCGTCCTCCTCGGCGTCAAAGCCGGAAAGCCTCGGCAAACACAAGCAGCCCTCCCATCCGGCGGAAAGCGCAAGGCGAAGAGCGGGTGGATGCTGGAAATGGCTGGACGGTCGTTGCCCAAGTGCCAAGTCTGACGCCACGAGCAGGTAATCTGTGCTTGCGAGATGCGCGCGTGAACACTTTCGCTCTCTGGGTGATCTGGTTGGTGCGATGCTGCGTGCAAAACCTGGGGCTTTCACAACATGCGCAATGAGACCAGAGTTCTGCTCCGACTTGTGGCCGAGGAGCGTGCCTGACGTCGAAGCCGAGGCCAGGTGCACACAGCAGATTCCGCAGCCCCCTCTCTCTCTCTCTCTCCCAATACCCCCTCCTCCTCCGCCTCCTCCTCCTCCTCTGCCGCCTCTGCCTCCTCCTCCGCCTCCTTCTCCTCCTCCTCCTCCTCCTCATCCGCCTCCTCCTCCTCCTCCGCCTCCTCCTCATCCTCCTCTTCTGCCTCCTCTGCCTTCTCCTCCGCCTGCTCCCGCCTCTCCTCCTCCTCCTCCTCCTCCTCCTCCCTCCTCCTCCTCCTCCTCCTCCTCCTCCTCCTCCTCCTCCTCCTCCTCCTCCTCCTCTTCCTCCCCCGACACGATCCTCTTCATCCTCCGCCTCCTCCTCCTCCGCCTCCACTGACACGATCCTCCTCCTCCGCCTCCTCCTCCTCACCCCCCAGGGGTGCGCCGACGAGGAGGGCCGGGCAGAGCGCGAACGGGGTGCGTTTCGTGGCCCCCCGAGGCACGTGCGCGGACGAGTGTTTAGGCCAAGGGGATGTGCCGAGAGAGAAGGCAGGAAGGGGGCGGCCTCCTCCTCCTCCTCCTCCTCCTCCTCCTCCTCCTCCTCCTCCTCGTCCTCCTCGTCCTCCTCGTCCTCCTCGTCTCCTCGTCCTCCTCGTCTTCTTCCTCTCCGTCCTCGTCCTCGTCCTCGTCCTCGTCCTCTCCTCGTCCTCCTCCTCCTCCTCCTCCTCCTCCTCCTCCTCCTCCTCCTCCTCCTCCTCCTCCTCCTCCTCCTCCTCCTCCTCCTCCTCCTCCTCCTCCTCCTCCTCCTCCTCCTCCTCGTCCTCGTCCTCGTCCTCGTCCTCGTCCTCCTCCTCCTCCTCCTCCTCCTCCTCCTCCTCCTCCTCCTCCTCCTCCTCCTCCTCACCCTCCTTTTCCCAAGACGGGGGCACGATGAGGACCCTTTCGGACGGAGAGAGGCCCGGGATCTCCGAAAGCTGGCTCGGCAGCGCGAGCGAGGGGGGAGACACTGAGAAGGAGAAGGCCTTCTCGGGAGGCGGCGGGGCTTCTCGGAGGCCCCCGCGCCTCCCGAGGAGTTCGCTGTGCCATCGGGAAAGCTCCGAAAACCTCTCAGGAGGCCAGGGACTTGCGAGCCTTCTGAGAAGGCGCGCCCCGTCTCATTGCTCCCCCTCGTCCGCCGCCGACAGAGGGGGGGCGCGAGATCCGGGGAGATCCAGCCGACCCATATCACAAGGATGCGCGACGAGTCTGCAGGGGCCGGGGAAGGCCATGCCGATAATGCTTTTCGAGCCGGGCGCGGCCAGCGAAGGTGGCCAAGGATAAACCGAGGAGGCGAGGGATGCAAGGGCACCCTTAGGAACATTGCCCATCCTTACTACGCGGGTTGACTGTGCCATGGTCGGGGGCCATGATATACCCCCCCCGTCCTCACTCCTCCCTCCGACGCCTCATGGTGTTCGAGCCATCGCTCGGCCTCGGGCGGCCAGTCGCACGACGCGGGCACCCCCAGCAGGCTCTCGACAAGGCGCAGCTGCTGGAGAGCATCGCGAGGCTGGAGAACCGCCGAGAGCCAGCGAGAACGCCCGAGAGCCTGCTCCCGTATCGCTGCATTGATGCACTCCTCAACTCCAACTCCTCCTCCTCCTCCTGCTCCTCCTCCTGCTCCTCCTCCTGCTCCTCCTCCTGCTCCGCCTCCTCCTCCTGCTCCTCCTGCTCCTCCTGCTCCTCCTCCTCCTCCTCCTCCTCCTCCTCCTCCTGCTCCTCCTGCTCCTCCTCCTCCTCCTCCTCCTCCTCCTCCTCCTCCTCCTCCTCCTCCTCGTCCTCCTCCTCCTCCTCCTCCTCCTACTTCTCCTCCTACTTCTCCTCCTACTTCTCCTCCTCATCCACCTCTCCACCTCTCCACCTATTACCGATTACCGATCTCAGTCCGAGCCGACCTGGGGCCTCACTCGAACAGTTGAAACCCCACAGCTCAAGGTCTCCAGGCTCCTTGTAGAGCCATGTATAACCGAGACGGGGTGGGGGCTGCTGAATTAAAGGCTGTCGGATCAAATCTGACGGGCCACGGGGAAGAGAGCTTATGTCCTGGCCCGCCTGGTAAAATGCCCCTTCTGATCTTCGACAAATCCTTGAGGGAGGAGGCGCAGGCATGGCACGGGCCTAGAAGCCGATTCGCTCGACCACCTGCCATATATCCGCACCTCATGCAGAAAAGTAGTGGAAGCTGAGTCTCGTCTCTCATAGAAACCCACAAGGCATGAGGATAAGTTGCTTCCGAAGCTCTCTTCACAAGGTCAGACAACGACGGCGGAAACGACACACACCTAGAGTTCGCAAGCAGCTTGGCCCCTCTACGATGGCACTGAGCGCACCTCCAAACTCCTGCCGCCTGATCCCAGACTGGGGTGTGGGGCCTCGGAGGGAGGGGGTGGGCCAGTGACCTGGAGATTCTGGGCACCACTCCAAAAAGTTCTCGAAGGGGGGGCCACTGGACTAAAATCTGGCACATATTAAGGGCAACCTGCTTATATAATTTGCGCGCATCCTTAAAGGCCTTCAGGTCCGTGCAGCTCATATTGTTGCCCCACGCCGCCTGCTTGGCTGCATGGTCCGCCCAAGCATTGCCCTTGATGTGGCGCAGCTCGAGCTCCGACCTCGCATCCTGTTCCTTCAAATGGGCTTTCACCTTCAAGCAAACATATGTGGGGCGGCCAGCAATTCGCCAGTATCCAGCATGCGGCGACGAGTGCTTCTTGGCCTGAAAATAATGGCCAGCCCCCCAAACAACAGCTTGGCAATCTGAATGTAGAATAGTTTCAAAGCTTGCAACTATGAGCGGGGGGCTGGGTTCTGAGTCCAAGGGGGGCAGGTGTTTCTGAAACATACAGGCAGCGTAGTGCTCGGCCGCTGCAGCTGACTGGGGGATCCCGTCAGGAACGGGACCTCGAATGCCCCTAATAAGATCCCCAGACTCAGAGCACTCTACAACAGCCCACCCCGCTCTCGCAACAAAAGGCACGGCTCCATCAAAGCACGAGCCGTCACTGTAGTGTCGAACTCCTGACCTCTGGAATAAGAAGGGCTCTATCACGCCCTCCGCATTGAAACACAAGATTTCTGGGTCCTCCACGGGCCTGCTTGTTATTTCGGGGGAGGGCATCCAAAGGGAGGCAAAGAGGGGATCCGCAGGCCCGTGGTGGAGTGCCATTGCCCGAATTTCTTCATCCTGACCTTCACGCGCGGCCTCGCACCAGGAACATTCCCGGGCCCTGTGAAAAATAGAATCTGGAGCTCCACATCTGGGGCAGAGCCCATCTGTCTCCAACCCCCACTGCTTTAAAGTCAGGCCTGTGGGATAGCGGCCTTTGGAAACTTGCTCCAAAATACGCTTATAATTCTTTGGGAACGACTTGCTAGCCAAGAGCCTGCTCGGCCCCAGGGACCAAAGGCCTCGGTCCCGAATTTCCTGCGCCCTTGGGTCCGAAGTCTCCTCCTCCTCCTCCTCCTCCTCCTCCTCCTCCTCCTCCTCCTCCTCCTCCTCCTCCTCCTCCTCCTCCCCCGCGCCTTGGACGCATCTCCCCCCCTTGCCGCTGCCGCCGGCGCGAGCACGAGCAATGGCGGCCAGGCCCGCGACCTGCGCAGCAACGTCGCCACGGTCACGGCGCCCTCCTCCCGGGCTCCGCCAGGCCCAGCGCGGGAGGCGTTCGGGTCGGGCGCCTGGGCGGCGGGAGCGGGGAGGTGGCGCTGGCTGTCGCAGATAGCAGGACGGGGATGATGTCGTGATAAGACTGGCTCAGGATGCGTCTCGGGCTTTCCACAGTACCTAGCGGCCCTCGTTTCTGCAGCCCCTGTGGGACATCAGGAAACCTGGGAGACCCTGGTAAAGATTGGAACGTATCATTAGCATGACCTCTTGCTCTATGCCGCCAATATATATATATATATATATATATATATATCTTTCTTTCTTTCTTTCACACGCTACTTCCCTTAGAAGTCTTGCGATTGCTTCGACCGATATACGGCGCCCGACAGGATCGGTAGCTACTGCAGTGCTGCTGTCTGTTTCAAACTGGATGGTTGCCCCGGGCCCCCGCCGACCTCTGTCGGCAGGCCGGCCCGCGACCTCTGCCGCGGGGCGGGCGGCGCCCGCGCGGTCAGCTCCTCCTTATCCGCCCCCGCCCCCCCCCGGCACCCCACCCCCCGCGCCCGACCCTTCACGATCGGTCGAAGGCGGAGCGTCGCCGACACTCGACGCCGACCTCTCCAGGCCAGGAGGAGGAGAGAGGGAAGCTCCAAAGGGATTCAAACCGGCATCGAATTTCCAGGTGTGTTTTTGCACTAAAAAGTTATGAGGGAGCCCAGAATTACCAAAAAATTATAAAAAATTGCGGGGCCCAGAGGGAGGAGAGGAGGCAGAGGCAACACCCGAACTCGAACACGTACCCATCAGTGGCGCTGACGCTTGCCCTTCTTCCCCTTGTTGCGCTGGAAGACTTCCGCCTCCAACTCTTTGGCGGCGCCAGCCCGAGGGGCGTGGTCCCTCTCGATGTACCACCCGGCGATCTTTGCCATGCCTGGGATCTCCAGGAGCTTCGCGAAAGTGTTCATGACCTCGATCTTCGTCTGGGTGTTGAAGATCCACTTGGTCACGGCCGTGCCATCCTCGAGCTGCGAGCTGACGTAGAAGCAGCGGGTCGCCTGAACAGAGCCCTTCACCTTCGCCTGTTCGCCGAAGAGCTTGATCTTCTCTAGCACCGAGGTGAGCTCCTTCCGGCCCGTCTCCGGGCACGCTTCCAACAGCTTCTGGCACACCGGCTCGGTCAAGGTCTCGGACGTCCGGAACAACAAGAACCGAAGGAAGGCGTCCGGTTTCTTCCCCTCCGGGTTCCCCCTGTACTCGGTGGAGGAGCCCTTGGCGTGCTTCTTGGCCTGGGTGCCGGCTTTGCCGTACGCCTCGACGGACTGCCCCAGCGCCTTGTCCAAGGGGCTCTCCGACGGCGTGATCAGGACGAGGTTCTGGTCCCTCGCCGTGGCGCAGTGAAGGTCTTCGTGCTGGAGCAGGAGCTTGGCCATGCATTTGATCAGCTTGCTCTCCGAGGACAGCATCTTCCCCTTGGTGACCACGCGCTTGCCGTCCTCTGCCTCGTCCTCGTCCCTGTCCATGGCGTCCGCGTCCCGCTTGGCGGCGCTCGAGCCCACCGGATCGAACATTGGCAGGCTGTGGGAGGAGCTCGGCAGCAGCGGCAGACCCTGATGAGCCAAAAGCTACAGACACAGCCCGAGCATGACAGCGACTGGCAATATGTCGGAGCAGTGTATCACGCCTGGTGAAAACACGAGAACAGTGGGGGCAAGACAAATCCGTAACATTCGCATGTTGCCGATGTTCTGGGTGCTGACGACTCAAATGAATGTGATATCCCCGTTCATCCTTGCACCAGGTGCCACAATGCTCACATCGAATCTGCATGGCCACATCCTGGCCACCGTCGCCGTCAGCCGGGTCATGCGGTGAATCGAAAGACAATACCTGGCCGAAGGCAGCACGAGGGAGGTTGGCCAGCCACCGGAGCCACTGGGATGTGATGGTAGGTTCCTGGCTCAGCGTGAACTCCTCATGCATGCGTCTTCTCTCTTCCGCGTTGAAGGAGAGCCAGAGCACCTCCAGGTCTCTACGAAGCCTGGCATACCTGTCCGATTCCATGGTCTGCTGGGAGCTCTCGAACGAAAATCGCCCAAACATGACTGCGCGCACAGCGTACGTGGGGTCATAGTGTTCAGAAGCATCAGGCTCCCACCAGCGTGGTTCATCCGGAACGAAGGCTGGCTTGACGATGTGCTGCCACCGCAACAAACGTCGCTTACACAGCTCAGAGGCCACAGACCAAACACGGCATCTCTTGCGAACAGCTCCGTTGCGAATCCGGCTGATGTGGGCAGGGAGCTTGGCTAGGGATCGCAACTGCTTGGTTTGCCACCTTTCCAGCCTCCGCTCGTCTGTGACCGTGTGGACCGCCGCCTCAGCCGCGTACAGAGCAATCGATCGGACCAGAGCCGTCCAGAGCCTGACTTTCACCCTCAAGGTCAAGTACGATTTCTTAAACGGTCTAGCAGCAAGCCTGGCATAAGCAGCGTTCGCCTTCTTAAGCCTGGAATCCAACTCAATTTTCGCGGTGCCGGTCATGCTCACCTGGACCCCAAGGTACTTGACGCTAAGCAAAGCAGGTAACGACGACCCCCGGACATCGAACCTAATCTTTTTCTTCTTGATCTTTTTGGTCGTGGTAGCCATGCCTGACCCAATCGGTAAAACCAAAAGCTCCGTTTTCCCCACGTTCACCTTGAGTTGGTGCTTTTCGATCGTGTCGTACAAAAACGAAAGGAATCCAGGGACCTCCGAGTCGTCGTCGAAGAGTTCGAACGTCAACAAATCATCGATGAACGCGGCGTGCGACAAGTTAAACTCGACGAGGTCGGCGGACTCGGTGTCGAAGTCGCCCTCTCCGCGAACCACCCCCAAGGAAGCGTCGAACGAGACGGTCAGACCCCGGTACCCTTCCTCCTTACAGTCCTGAAACACCTTACCTGTGATGAAATCGTAGAGGACGATAAAGAGCGTGGGGCCCTCAGTCGAGCCCTGCCGGACGCCCTTGCGAACAACCAGGCGACGAACGATCTCCCCTGTGTTGTGGTCCCTGAGAAGGTAACACGTCCCGTCGTGCAGTTCCTGCCACAACAGCGTGACATGGTGGTCCCCTGTCATCTCCAGCAGCGCCTGCCAGATAACGTCCCTGGGCACCAGGTCAAACGCTTTCTCTAAGTCTATCAGACAGACTAGCAGAAAACGACGGCGTTTCGGGCTACAGCGGCCTGCCCGCCGGAACCGGCGCAGTACCTCGTCAACCAGGGCAATGGCGTCACGAGTGGACCTCTTGGGCAACCCTCCAAACTGAACATGCGAGATTTTTCGAGCCAGAGTCGGGGTCCACGGGGCCATAGCCATCCGAGTGAAACACTTCCCTAAGTGAGACAATATGTTTAAAGTGCGATAATCATTACGTGCATCAGTGCCGTCCCCCTTGGGCTTCCTTAAATACGAGACCTCCCCATCTTTAAAGTGGGCGGGGATTTGAAGGAGCGTGGCAGACGCCTGAAACACCCCAGTGACCCCCGCCTCCAAAACGTCCCACCCCATTTTCCACAGTTCTGCCACGACTCCAGCAGCGTGCCCCCCAATGTTTAAAAGACCGGCTGAAACTATGTTGGGGGCCGCTTTCCAATTAGGCATTTTGTGCATGGCGCTAGCTACTGTGTCACGTGTAAAGAAACAGCTTGTCACTGCAGCTGGCTGGGGGTCGGGGAGGGGGAGGAGAGGAGGAGGTCTGACGTGCAGCAAGCACTCGTCAGCATCAAAGATCGATTTGAGAGCCGACGTCCGGACTGCGAGCTCTTCCTCCAGGGACATGCACAATTTCCCCTCACCATTGCGGACTGTGAGCGCGGCGGCACGCGGCTTGGGGGCAAGACGATTCACAATGCGAAAGCACTCCCGGCTGTCATTGTGCCGAGCGGCGTGCTCAGCCTGGTCTGCCTGCCGCTCAAGCTCGGCACGCTTCTCCAAGCGAATGGCACGTTGAGCCTCCCTCGCATGGTGCTTGAAGTCTGCCAAAGCGAAGGATATCCGAGCGAGCGACTCCTGGTTCTGAATTCGGGCTTCCAGCTGGAGCTGGCTGCTCTGCTTGGTTTTAATTAAAGTTAAAGTAGAGTTCGAAAACTTAAAACGCGATCTTGCAACACCTGGACTGGTCAGAAAAAACTTTTGGGCTACAATCGAAACTGCACTCTCCAAAGCATTACAATAGTCTGTAGTAGTGGCATACAGCTTAGAGACTCCGCAGACCTCTGCCCACGGTTGGTGCAGCTGGCGAGCCTGAATCAAAGTATCGAGCTCTGACCGAAACGACAGCGCGATCTGAATTTCAGCCGTGATACGAGTTGACTCTGGGTACCGATCATAGATCTGCACAGCCTGGAGACACCTGGACAACAGCGTGCGGTCCCAGCGGAGCCTCGCCGGGCAGCGACTGCGGTGGCGATAGGCTGGGGCAGCGCTCACATGACCTTCGACCACCCAGTGGTCGCGGGCCCCGCCGAGGCTCACCGGAATGTTGCGTCTCGTAGTCGCCGAATCCCGGGCCCCGTCCTGCAGGCGCGAGATGATGAAATCACCTCTGGCAGACCACTGCCCGCGAGGATGGCGCCACGTAGGGTTCCACTTGCGAGCCGGGCCGAACGTGTTCAGGGCACGAAGTTGGCACTCCTGGAGCGTCTCCAACAACTGGCGCCCGTTGTCGTTCCAGGCCGGGATCTGCTTAGACCACTCGCCAGCTTGACCAACATGGGGTAGAGACACACGAACGCTAGCGTTGGCGTCTATCGTGAAGATCAGCCGGCAGCGAGCCCGAACCGCGTGCACAGCAACGCGAAGTTGAGCATGGAACGCAGCTTTTGCTTCGACGTGAGCCTGAAGCTTGTCAGGGTCTCCGCGATGGACAGTGTCATTTGTGGGAGAATACGCATTGAGAACATAAAAATCCAGTGCCTTACCACGGGTAACCCGGATGCCATGAATGCGTCCATCAAGCCATCGATGTTCACACCGGACGTGGGTGCGAGAGGCAAGTTTTTTGGATACGCCAATCAGACAACCATCACGGTGTTGCTTATCGGATCGCGGTAAGGGATAGAGCCAGAAATGTTCATGCTCCCACGCGGTGTCAACAGTCAACAGAGTGCCTTGCAATGACAGTACCCCCACATTGTGGGATGCGGCAAGCTGGAATATCTCCTCAAGGCGGCCCTGCACTTGGCACGACTCGCAATTATAGGACCACACCCTGATTTGATCTCTCCGCAGCGCCGCAACACGATCTGGGCTGCCCTCGGCCGCCTGGGCGGGAGGATATGAGTTTTCAAACATTCTTTCTCGGGCTCGAACACGGCCGGTATATAGCTGAGGCTTCGCCACGTTTGATGTGCACGCCCCTTGTATAGTTGTGGCTCGGCTGCAGAGATCGGGCACCGTGATGGCTGTCACGGAGTCTGCGCTTTCCCTCTTCATCGGCAGCATGCAACGTAGGGAGCTGGAGGGTGTAATGTAAGCTGGCCCCCTTCCCCTTAGAGCCCTAGAATGCTTAGGAAGAACTGGCACTGCAGGCGTAGCCGGAAGCGATACTCCCAAAAGTGCCGCTGCCCGAGATCCAGCATAGAAGCGGCCTCGATACCAGACATGGCCCTGCAGCTGCAGCTTGCGGCACGCTCGCCGAAAACTCTGTTTATGATGATGCTCTTGCTCGCCCCCTGCCGTTGACATCAAAAACGTCGCCGAGGGACTCCAGGACGCTCGAGCAGGCGCCCAGCGCTCGGTTGCGCGCGTGGCACCACTGACGCCCCAGGCCAGCAGGAAACACCATGCGGCGGCTAGCATGGCTGGGGGGACGGCCACTTCATGCGCCCAGGGGAGTTGCGACCCCTGGCAAAGGTCACGTCGACTCGGACTCGAGCCGGGCCTTATATATATATATTATATATATATATATATATATATATATATATATATATATATATATATATATCCGCCGGCCCCCTTGTGGGGCCACCAGGCTGTGAGGCGCGTGATTCGCAGTTTCCTGTACCAGTTGTAGTTTCTAGTTTCCAGTGTTGCAGTTCTGCTTCTTGCTGGTTATTGTAACTAGTTGACTTGTTGCTGGTTACTGTAACTAGTTGATTGACCGCGCGAGGGGGGGGGAGGCCCAAACGGGATTTTTAGCGTCCCCTGGGCGCGTTGTCTGAATTGCTGGGTGGGCTCGAAATCGACACCCCTCACGCAGTTCCGCGGGGTCAGGGTCCAAAAACACAGGGGATTTGCCACATTTCTGAAAGTCGGTGCCACCCCTCACGCAGATCCGCGGGGTCAGGGTCCAAAAACCCAAGGGATTTGCCACATTTCTGAAATTCGGTGCCACCCCTCACGCAGATCCGCGGGGTCAGGGTCCAAAAACATCAGGGATTTGCCACATTTCTGAAATTCGGTGCCACCCCTCACGCAGATCCGCGGGGTCAGGGTCCAAAAACACAGGGGATGCGCCACATTTCTGAACTTCGGTGCCACCCCTCAAGCACATCCATCGCAAGGCGTGGTAACCCAAACTGCGACTACTCCCTCGGCCCTTTAATCCCAAGGTGTGGTAACCAAGCTCGTAAACCATACACGTCTTACCAATCGCCCTGTGTGGTAACCCCTCTTGTGATCAGTTGGTTTTGCCGATTGCGAATCGGCCTCGCATGAAGTTCCGATACTGCTGCACGACAGCGCCAAAGCCTCATGACTTAGCTCTTCCATGGCCCACTCTCCGAGAGAGGGGGCCGGCGGCAGGGGGCGAAGCTCTTACGGTATATATATATATATATATATATATATATATATATATATATATATATGCGTGTATATATATACATACACTGACGCCCTCCGAATGTTGCGTGTACCCTCTGGGAGGGCGGTGGTGTATAACATCGCTGGCACCCGGTGGTGATTTATACACCGCCACCCTCCCCTGGAGGCCCAGGAACTATCCACTGGAGGGCGTCTGTGTATACGTTTTTGTGGCAGATGCTCCTCCGAAGCGTGAGCCCCATGCGCAGCTGCGCCCATCTTCGCGCGAAATCGTCGTCGTCGTCGTCGTCGTCGTCGTCGTCTTCGTCGTCTTCGTCGTCGTGCTGCCGCGAGGAGCGCAGAGAGTCTAGCCGAGGAGCGGGAAAAAGACGGCGTTTCGTGGCCCCGGGGGGCCTCGGCCGCGCACGCACGGGTTCGCCGACGTGGAACTGGGGCGCGGCCGGCCCTTCATTTCAGCGTTCGGTGCGGGTCACAAGAGGATACACCCCCTCCTCCTCCTCCTCCTCCTCCTCCTCCTCCTCCTCCTCCTCCTCCTCCTGCTCCTCCTGGCTCAAGCCGGTTGGGATCTTGAGCGTGCTGAGAGACGCGACACGACTGGACAGGCCAGTGACACAGCGTTGGGGCTCAGCTTGAGAATGCCCAAGAGTAAACCCTTCACAGTCTGCAATGAGTGTGGCCAATGGGTGTACAACTGGCGGCTGGACAAGCAAGGAGGGCAGTGCAAGTGCGGCGCGTGGCTGGAACCGTTCCAGGGCAAGCCGCCCTGGCGCAGCAACCACTACGGGCAGCAGCACGCTGGAAGCTCAGCGGCGGCGTGGTGGGGGCCAAAGCCAGGAGAAAGCGATGGCAAGGCGGCGGCGCTGGATTTCCTCGCAGGGGGGAACAAGCAGCTGGCCAAGGAGATCGAGGAGCTCCAGCGCAAGCATGCGCCGCCGCCGCCTCAGCCGAGGCCACCCGATGCATGGCAGGCGCTCACGAAGGCCAAGGGACAGCATCAGAAGGCGCAGAAGTGGCTGCTGGAGTGCGAGGACGAGCTCGAGCGCTTGTCCATCCTCCACGATGAGGCGCTCCTCCGCCGCGACCAGGCCTTGGAGGACGCCTTCGATGCGGATCAGGCCCGCGCGAAGGCCTCGGCGGCCTGCTACAAGCAGGTGGGCAAGGGAGAGCTCGTCAAGGCTGAGGGGGAGGAGCCTGCGCAGGCTGAAGTGCAGACGATCCTGGACTTCTCAGTGGATGACCGGCTCCTGGACGCCAACCTGGACGACTACGAGGGCGGCCCAGAGAAGGAGGCGGTGTTGGCCTTCCGCACCAAGTTGGCGGACATCCAGCAGGCGGGGAAGACGTCCTTGCAGAAGATCGAGGAGGCAGAGGCGGCGCTCGCTCGGCAGCAGACAGAGGTTCGCCAGAAGCACTCGGAGGAGGCGAAGCAGCTGCGCGACCAGGCGGAGCAGCACCAGCAGCTCCTGGTGCAGCAGGTCGAGCAGCTCCCCAGCCTGCGCAAGCAGCTCCGGAAGAAACGCAGGACGGAGGACGGCCAGGCGGCCTCAGACGAAGCCGCCAAGAAGGAGCCTGGTGAGCAGCCAGCGGCGGAGCCAGGAGCAGCGGCCGCGGAATCAGCGGCTGCCCCAGACGCCGAGGCAGCCCAGAGGAGGAAGCAGGTGCTGCTGGACTACCAGGCGAAGGTCAAGGCTGAGCGCGCCGTCGCCGTCGCCAAGGGGGGCGGCAAGGGCAAGCCAGGCACTGGGGGGGCTGTTGCGGCTCCTGCTGGCGCTCCTGCTGCTGGGGGGAGAGCAGGCGCAGGCAAGAGTGGAGCAGCTGCCAGCCAGGATAGACCGCCGCACCTTTGACGATCTACGTCCTGACGCGAGGCCAGCGTCAGGCACGGCCGGCGATCGCCAGCTCTTCTTTGCGAATGTGGAGAAGTGGGGCCCACAGGCCCACAAGTACGTGAACGAGTATCAGGAGCGACACCCACGGGTAAGTGTGATGGGCACCTGCGAGACCCACCTCTTGCCCGACAAGCAGAAGAAGGTCACAGTCGACCTCGATCGGGACGGCTGGAAGACCACGGCCACGGCAGCGCGGCCGTCTGGGCTGAGTGAGACGGGGTGCTGTGGTGGAGAGATGATAATAGCGAGGCGGCATCTGGAGACGACCTCGCTCGATCATGTGCGAGTGGCAGCACAGCAGCGAGGCAGAGACGATCCCTTCCGCGGGTTCGTGGCGACCACCATCCACGCGAAGGCGGGCAATGTGGTCTACGTGACGGCGTACATGGCGCCCCAGTGGGGGAAGGGGTCCCCGAACCCCCGGAAGCTGGCGAGCCTGGCGGCCTTCCTGAAGGCCGTGGACGACCCGTGGATCGTGGCGGCGGACTGGAACCTGGACCCAGAGCAGCTGCCGAAGAGCGAGTTCCCGCAGAAGGTCGGCGGGGTGGTGAAGGCGCCGCAGGGGACGAAGGTCACGTGCACCAAAGGGGAGCAGGGGTCTCTGCTGGACTACTGCTTGGTGCGCAAGGACTTTGCGGACCAGGTGATGGTAGAGGCGGAGCTGGAGGTGCCTTGGAAGCTGCACTGCGCGCTGCTCATCACACTCAAGGGCTCCTAACAGGAATGGTGGGCGAGGGCGCTCGTGGTGCCCAGGGCGCTGCCGCGGACGCAGAGGCCGAGGAAGAGCGCGGACCCCAACAGCAAGACGAGCAAGATGAAGCAGAAGAAGCTGCAGGAGAGGAAGTCGAGACTCCCCCCGGAGGAGCAGGAGGCCTTCATGAAGCTGTACGAGGAGGATGAGGTCTGCCAGGAGCCCAAGGCGCCCTTCCAGGTGCCACTGGAGTGCTGGAGGCAGGCGGAGGAGCAGCTGGTGCAGACAGGATCTCCAGGTCACCAGCAAGCCCAACCAGCCCATCCAGTCCACCCGCTAAGCGACGGTCAGAACAGACGAGACAGCAACGTGCTCCGGCAGAGCGTTGCCGGAGCACGTTGGGCAACGTGGTCCGGCAGGGCGTTTCCGGAGCACGCTGGGCGAGGGCCCGTTGTGGGCACGTACACGGGCCCGGTGCAGCAGCTGGACGACCACGTCGCCTACCAGGGCCGCGAGGAGCAGGAGAAGGACCTCTCGCATAGGTACGGCAACTGGGTGAGCAAGCTGGAGCTCGCACTGCTCGGCGTCCACGAGGTGGAGGAGTCGGAGAAGGCGCGCTACCTGGGGCGCGGGAGGGGCTTCGACCTGAAGTGGGTGAAAGCGAAGGTCACGCCAGGCAGGGCACACATGAAGTGCCACAAGTCTGACGCCATGTGCTATGCGCTCACGCTGATGCAAAGGTACCAGACGCTCGCGCGTGACAGGCGCGATGAGGCTCAGCGAGGCCGGGTGAGCTGCAAGCTCAAGAGGATCGCAAAGGAGACGCTGGACCAGGGCATGGCCGACTTTTTTCGGCAGCGCGCGCTTCATGGTCTGGCAGAAGATGATGGTCAAGGTCGAGACCCTCTCGGCGGCGCACCGACAGAAGTTGCTCGAGCTGACGGGCGCGCTGGCGGCGGCAGGGCAAGCACGCGCGATGGGGGAAGCACGAAGGGCCTACACCAAATGGGTGAAGGAGATGTGGAGCGACAAGATGGGGGTGCTGCACAAGCACGTGAAAGACGAGCCGACCATCATCAACGAGATCTGCACGGGCACCTCCACCACGGCGGACCCTGCGGCGATCATGAATGACCGGGCGTCCAAGTGGAGAGGGTTGTGGCAAGACCCGAAGGTGAGCTTGGAGGACATCCAGGGGCAGCTGCAAAGGACCCTGGAGGTAGCGAAGGAGGAGGACTACCCGCCAGTGGAACAG